ACAATAGTGACACCAAATCACATGCAGATCACCATAACAGATCACCATAACAAATATAATAATAAGGAAAAGTTTTAAATATTGTGAGGATTACCAAAATGGCACCAAGAGACTTGTTCAATCCAGGGTTGCCACAAACCTACAATTTGTAAAAAAAATGCAGTATCTGCAAAGTGCAATAAAGCAAAGCACAATAAAATAAGGTGTGCCTGTATTTCTATTTTACACATACTGTGAACTGGCACAAGGGTCCACCAATTCCCCTTCCTTGGCTTTGAGTGGCCATGACCCCTGGGAGACCTGAGGGTAACCTTAAGAGCCCAGTTTGGCTTACAGTCTTAAGAGGATGTTATTGGTCATCATGTTTGCTATGCTGTGACATGGACATTAGGAAGGGCTCTCTTGACTAATAGAAAATCTGAAACAAATAGGCTTGAGTGGTAAGAAAATATATTGTCTTACATAGGATATTCAGAGATAGGGCAGGTATTAAACCAGAGTTAGCCCCATTATAACTCATATCCCATGGCAGCTGGTGAGTTTATTAGGAAAGCCAATCAGAGAGACCTTTCCGTCCTTAGTCTGGCCTTGGCAACCTCATCCTACCCCTACTGTGAACTCTCAGTACCTCATGACATTGGACACTTGCCCAGAACCCCAAAACATTTCCAATAGATCTAGGCTTTCCTTCACATCTGGCACTATGAGTTGTGATCAAGCATTCACTCTTATTGAACATCAGTATTTTAGGCAAATATCAAAATTACATATATCTTACAGGTCAACCAGGGTAAAGTTAAAGGGAAAAACCACACTTCAATGAAAGGGAATGCAGGTTGTCACCTTGTTTAATATATAAAGAACTGTAGGATAACTGAAGGCCTTATAAAGACCAATACTGGAGAACAAAGGAGAGGCATCTCTGATTCCACGCTTGGACTGCTGGGGCAGTGGTCCAAATAGAACAAACCACCACAAACCAAGGTTATGTTACATGCATTTTCTGAGGTATTAGATAGGCTTTACTTGACAAATCATCTCCCTTTCTTCAATCTGTTTCTCTCTACTGACCTTTTAGGGAGGAAAGCACACGGGTGAAGGGTAGGGCAGCATTAGATTAAAATAACCTGGATTTGGAATACCTGACATTCTCCCTTTCCAACCTGGGCCCAGCAGAATGGCTCTCTCACAAAGAAGAGCAGTGAGAAGGGCCACTCTGCCACCAGTGAGCTAGTGACCAGACCAGAGAACACACCATCAACATTCACAAGTGCATCATCCATGGAATAGGCTTTAAGAGGTATGCTCCTCAGGCACTCATAGAGATCTGAAAATTTGCCATGAAGGAGATGGGAACTCCAGATGTGCTCATTGACACCAGGCTCAACAAAGCTGTCTGGGCCAAAGAAAACAGGGAATGCCCCATAAAGGAATATACTGTGTTTACGGGCAGTCATCCAGAAAATGGAATGAGGATGAAGATTTGCCAAATAAACTCTATATACGTTAGATACTTAGGTACCTAAGACCACTTTCAAAAACCTAGTCAGTCGGTGTGGATAAGAAATGACCAGATGGTCAAACAGCTATGAAACCACCACACACACACCAAAAAAAAAAGACCTAGATTTGAATCTGCTAATTCCCAGGTATGTGATCTTTAGAAAGAGACTCTCAATTTCTCTAGGCCTCAGTTACTTCAAATGTAAATGGGAGATAATAATGCCCACCCTGTACAGGTGTTATAAAGATGAAAAACATTAACATATGGAATGCTTAGTACATTCCATAATATGCACAATGCATAACAGCTAATCAGTGCATATAATCATCATCCTTCCTACTAAACCTGCTCACCTTAAACATTTAAAAAAATTATATTCCGTTTCCCTATGTCTTCCAACGATACTTCATCTTCTCCTTTATATCAAATGCCTTGCTTTCCTTTTCCTCAACTCCACTGCACTCAAACTCACTGAAATATGGCTCTCCCCCACCCCACTCAACTGACACTGCTCTCCCTAACGTCACCAACCACCTCTTTGTTGCTATCCAACACCTTTTTTAGTTTTTATCTTACTTGTCCTCTTTACAATGTTTGGTCAAGCAGATCTTTCCGGGTCTAGAAGCTCTCCTGCATTTCTGTGGTAGTATTCATTATCAGGTAGGATGTTTTTGGCAGCAAATAAAAAAAAAACCCTCAATCCAAACCATTTTAGATAATAAGAATGCTATCTCACATAACAGTAAGCGCAAACAGAGGGCTGGTTTCCAGAGCAGTTAACTGCATGGCTGAACATCACCAGGAATCTAGGTTCTTTTTGCTCTACCATCCACAGCATTAACTTCATCCTAAGATTCAGTCCTCTCATCATCATAAAATGGCTGCCAGCAGTAAGAAGGGCAGCATCCTTCCTGGTTCTTAACCAGAAGGATGGAGGCATCTCTCCTTCCAGTCATGAAATAAAGTCCTTGGTCTGGTTGGACCAATGTAGGTCACATGGCCCCCTTTGGAACAGTAACAGTCACCAAAGAAATGCCATGTACTGATTGGCTGAGGGTACCTTTCCTGAGTCCCACGGCTATGTGTGTGCAGAGTGAATATCCTAACAGAATCAGAGCTCTCTCAGCAAAGATGCAGGAAGGGATAGATGCTGAGTGGGCAACCAATAGCACCCACTATATTCACTTTCTTGATTTTCCTGCTGGCTGTTCTTATGTCTCTTTGTGCACTTCTCTTTCTTAGATTACCACTTAAATGTTTATCATTTAAGATAATTTTATTTTCAGTCCTCTTCTATAAAGACGCCTGGGTGGCTCAGTTGGTTGGGCGGCTGCCTTCGGCTCAGGTCATGGTCCTAGAGTCCTGGGATCAAGTCCCACGTCGGGCTCCCAGCTCAGCGGGGAGCCTGCTTCTCCCTTGGACCCTATCTCCTCTCATGCTGTTTCCCCCTCTCTCTCTCTCAAATAAATAAATAAAATCTTTGAAAAAAAAAAAAGACTATACTTTCTCTGTGAGCCATCACTTCCTTATCTTTGATTACTATCTCTAATCAAAGAGATACTTCTGTTATGTTATCTAATTGAGTCTAAACTGATGAGTCCTAATTAAGGCATCTATTTCCAACCAAAGTGTTTCTTCCAAGCTCCATACCATGAATTCGAAAATATGAATACTTACCCATTACTTCCTATGGTAGGAAGAATGATGTCCCCCCACTCTCAATGATGTGTATGTCCTAATCCCCAGAACCCATAAGTATGTGAGGTTACATGGCAAAGGGCAATTAAGATTACAGATTGAATTAAAGTTGCTAATCAGCTGACTCTAAAATAGGGAAGATTATAGATTATCCTGGATTATTCAGACATAAGCGTCTTTAAAAATGGAAGAAGATGGGGCGCCTGGGTGGCTCAGTCATTAAGCGTTTGCCTTGGGCTCAGGTCATGATCCCAGGGTCCTGGGATTGAGCCCCGCATTGGGCTCCCGTGCTCCGCGGGAAGCCTGCTTCTCCTTCTCCCACTCCATTGCTTGTGTTCCCTCTCTTGCTCTCTGTCAAATAAATAAAATCTTTTAAAAAATAAAAAACAAAATAAAAATGGAAGATGGGATGCCTGGGTGGCTCAGTTTGGCCTAGCATCTGACTCTTGATTTCAGCTCAGGTTATGATCTCAGGGTCATGATTTCAGGGTCATGAGATCGAGCCCCATGTCGAGCCCCTAGTCTGGCTTTCCACTTAGCAGTGAGTCAGCTTCTCTCCCTCTGCCCCTCCCCTATAAATCTTTTTTGTTTTTTAAAGATTTTATTTATTTGAGAGAGAAACAGAGCACAAGCAGGAGGGCAGAGGGAGAGGGACAAGCAGCTTCCCCACTGAGGCCACCCAGGGGCCCCCAAATAAATCTTTAAAAGTGGAAGGAGGAGATAGGGTGTTGAGAGTTTAGCTAACCTATTCCATATTATTGCTGCCTTGGCATCCATTTTGTGTGCCTAAGCACACTAGCCTCTCTCTCAAGCTCATGAGATAACCACCCATAGATAATAGCCTACAGAATCGCAAGTGTAAACTGATATAACTTCCCCCATGCCCCTGGTGATAAACAATCTCTTCTGCCTCCCAACTGCTTCCCCTGTGCACCCCTTAGATAAGACCCCCACTGAGCTTACCAAAACCCTGATCTTTTTGGTTTGAATTGGCCAATCCAGCCTTAGCCTGGGAACCCCAAAAGCACCCACTCATGGCCCTAATAAAGGCATGCCCCAGGTCCTGCTGTCCACTTTCTGTCTGCGTCTTGACCTCCCTATGTGGCCCCTCTGATGCATGCCATGTACCTCCCCCAGGACCTGTAATAAACTTCCCTATTTTACTTTCCCTTGTGGTCTTTGTGGAAGCATCACTTGCCATCTGACACACCAGGGCTCTCCTTAACAAATGTCAATTTAACAAAAATCACAACACAGGGGAGAGAGGATTAGAGAAATGGCAACATGAGAAGGGCTCAGCCAGATGTTGCTGGTTTTGAAGATGCAGGAAGGGGCCATGAGCCAAGGACTGTGCATAAGCTCTAGAAGTTGGAAAAAGCAAGGAAAGAGATTTTCTCCTAGAGCCTCCAGAAAGAGTGCAGCCTTGCTGACACCCTGATTTTGGCTGAGTGACGCTCATTTTGGTCTTCTGACCTCCAGAACTGTAAGATAATAAATTTGTGTTGTTTTAAGCTGAACCTCATGGGTTTGTTGGATTAAATAAACTAATATGTGCAGAACAGTACCTGGTACATGGTTGGTGCTATGTAAGTATTTTCCATTATTAATTTCCTCTCTGAGTAACTCACATAGGGGTAAGACCTAAATATTAAGAAGGAGCTCAAACCAATATGGATAAACTATAAGAACTGTGTGACAAATAAAGAACAATCAGATTAAAATGCAGCGTTGTTCTTTATATTTCCATGGTATACAGTAATGAAAATACATGAAGATTGAACCATAGCAGCAACTTTCATCACTCGTCTTCACATTCATCAGAGCTTTCTTCACTTAGCTCCTCACTGCTTTCTCCTTCACTCTCACCGCTACTATCTTCTTCACTATCTTCATCATCTTCCTCAAGATTTTGGGATTTTTCTGCCACGGAAAGGAAGAGAATTGCTTAAAATGTTCTTGATATTTCTACTCTTTGAAAAATCGTAACTCTCCTTGCTTCCCCCGCCACTAAGAAATACCCATCTTTGGAACGTGAGGACTGAGCCAAACTTTGCTGACTGTATGTAGGATTCAAAGTAGTAGTACAAAGAAGACTATATTCTTACTGGTATAAAGATGTTTATGGATTTAGAGTAAATTTAAAACATAGGTCTATAAAAATATATATATATTTTTTACTATTGTTACCATAATTCTTAAATAGGAGTGAGATGCAGGGTAATTTAGAGGGTACTGGTTTTCCTTGGAATTGTGGGATAGCTCCTCTAACATGTGTGGCAATGAGCATGTTCTGTGCCCTGTGAAGACTCTGTCAGTGCCTGATGCCTGGTGTCCAGGAAACCTGCTTCACTTGGGCAGTTCCACAACCCCACGGAGAAAAGGGAGTCACCTTGACCACCCACAAAGGCCAAGCTGGTTTCATTAAACCATCCAAAGACAACCAGTTAGCCTTTTCTTAACCACTTCCTGAGGGTGGACTTCACCAATCTCCTGGGATAATGGGTTTTTAAATAGTGACTGCTCATAGTTCTGTGAGAAAGAAGGAATTTCAATTTTTAAATTTACCCATCAGCAGCATTTCTTCAATAAGTGAGAAAAACTCCTTGGCCTCAGGATTTTCTGGTTCATAGATTAGGACTGAAAATAGACAACAGAAGGTTTGTTACTAATCTTCAAAGTGTTTTCAGCAAACAGGTTCCTCAGAATGAGACTGGAGTTGTCAGAGTAAGTGAAAATGCACAAGCCAATAAATACCAACAATTATTCCACAGGAATACCTAAGTGCAAATAGAGAAAATGATCTACTTATCGTAGGTGCACTCTAAGAGAAATAATTCTCATTATATTTTCTACCTCCTGTCTAAAGAATGCAATCTCCAACACTATGAGGCTTTCCCCACAGGCCTTGTAGCCAAAGTGTTTTTTGACTATAACCAAACAAAGGACATATCCTGCAAAATGTGGAGGCTTCGCTAATGAGAACACTGTGTGCCTTGAGGAGTATTCATAATTCTGCTTTATCCGTTTAATGTTGTGACTCCCATGTAATATCTTGATGACCCCTAGGGGGCACTGAAACATCAAGTGTGCCGTTCACCTGACTAAGAGTAAGACAAATAATTGTGGATGGTTCAACTAGGCTCCGGGGCTTACAGGACATCATCCCATATGGCTTGCATCCTGACACACCAAACCGGTGTCTCTCTTTCCTAATCTACCTACATAACAATTTACTATCGATCTGGGTTAGCATGACTGTGCACCTGCTCAGAAGCTGCTTTTAAGGATCCTATAGGTATTTAGACACCTTTTAAGGTTTCTAATAAAAGTATCTTTTAATTCATTTTAAGTTGGACTCAAATATACTTATCATTAGCAGTCTAAATCTTTCTCTGAGCCTCTTCTTAGAGCAGTTTCTCTAACTCGCCCCTTGAGATACTAGGTTCTTAAGATGTTAATACATATTTGGGAAACTAGGTCAAATGAGGTTAATCAGGGAAAGTTTACAATAGGAGCAACTGTAGGATTTTACAGAACCACTAATATGCTCATAACTATTATGAATCTTATAGATTGGAGAATGTGGTTTCCCCAACTTATTATTCCCATGGAATCCTTTTTGATGTAACACTTAATAAGAAATCTTAAATACAGTTTAGAAAATTTCATGTTGGAATTAGGATTATTCCATGGGACTGGAGTATAGAATCAGCTGCTCTTATGGTTTACCAAAAACCATTGGCAAATGTCAATTTTCAAAGTGAGGGAAAGGTATCTGCTTTGAAACTTAGCCCAGAAATATGTATTCTAGGTGATGAATACAAAATTCTCCTTACTCTTTCACAGGCTAGTAGGGTTTGTAAAAGGGTAAGAAAAGTCTCTAGCACACTCAGTTAGGAGATAGGGTGTTGAGTCTGGGAGTTGTTCCCAACCTGAGCCCATAAGCAGATCCCAGTATGGGCCCTGAAGAAAGACTCAGATGTGAATCCTGGTTCTGCCACTGTCTAGTTGGGTCTCCTTGGGGAAAATATTTAATATCTCTGTATCTCGGTTTCCTTATCTGTAATAACACCATTGGCCACATTAACCTGTTTTGATGAATCAATGAGATCATGTAGATAAAGCACTTAATCCAGTCCTTGGTGCACGGTGAGTTTTCCGGAAATGGTTTTGGACCTAGAGAAAGACTTGACTCCTTCCCAAACATTCAGTGGATGTTTCCTTCTGGCTAAAGAGCTGGGGCAGGAGCCAGGGGATTCTGCTGCCCGTAGGGCTCTAAGTCCCTCAGACTGGAGGCTAGTCTAGGGTAGACAGAACATGGGTCTTTTTCACTGTTGCATGCCTAGGAGAGTGCCTGACACAGAGCTGGAGCCCTCAAAACATTAAGAAATGGAGTAAGTGAATAGTAGAAAGCAGTCGTTTTATGCCTAGATAAAATTATACTGTAGGTTAATAGGAAAAAGTGAGGGGCGCCTGGGTGGCTCAGATGGTTAAGCATCTGCCTTCGGCTCAGGTCATGATCCCAGAGTCCTGGGATCGAGTCCCGCATCAGGCTCCCTGCTCAGTGGGGAGCCTGCTTCTCCCTCTGCTTCTCTCTCTCTCTGTTTCTCATGAATAAATAAATCTTTAAAAAAAAATAGGAAAAAGTGATTTATTTTACCCAAAAAAAGAAAGAAAGATGGGATGCCTGGGTAGCTCAGTCGGTTAAGCGTCTGCCAGAGTCCTGGGATCGGGTCCCTCATCGGGCTCCCTGCTCAGGGAGGAGCCTCCTTCTCCCTCTGCCTGCCACTCCCTCTGTTTGTGGGCTTTCTGACAAAAAAACAAATAAAATCTTAAAAAAAAAAAAAGGAAGGAAGGAAACTTCATTGTAACTATCCTTTCTGAAAATACATCTATCTGTATTTTGTTAGACCAAAGTGATGAGAAACATTTTGGTTTTGAGACCGTTATTTTTAAACACTTACAATTATAATTGATGAAGTAGGTCTTCCAGGCCTAAATATTTGGTGTAAAATGTTGGGCTGCCTGTGAGCAGCACTGCTGTGCTCTGAGGAGAGTGAGCGGCAGGTTCCCTTCTTACAGGTAAAGAGACCAATAAACAGAAAGATTGGCACAAAATGTCATAGTCAATTATGAACTGAACTAAGAAAAGTACTTGGAACTCTTGACTTTCAGCCTAATATAAAAACCACCTTTCCAGGATGCCTCCAATGCCTGGCAAGAAATGGCATACAGCTGAGATATCAGTTCTGTACAACATAGCAGGAAAACAGCTGAGGAAATCCTGGGCACATATAAAAATTGTGTGTGGAAGACAGATAAAATTCAAGCCTTCACTGACAAATAAAATTTCTTGGGGGAACCCAAAACAAATTTTTTTTTTTTTAAATCAGGACAAAGAGAAAAGAAACCATAGGCATGTGGACTGCCAGGCGGGAACCCCTGAAGCCCAATGGAGATATAAACGACTTTACTGTGACTGGACAGCAAGGAAACATACTAGCAACCAGCGGCTTTATTCAGAAAATGAGTTTATAAAACATTTTAGAAGGGACAAGGATGCATTATTTTATATAAATTAATTGCCTTTGATACAAAGAAAATGTATTAGTTGACCACAGGAGCCATTTTAAGCCTGACTGACCCATAAAAGTACCCCCTTTCCAAGTCCCTGCCTCCCTGACCAGAAATATAAATTTATTTTTTATTTATTTTTTAAAAAGATTTTATTTATTTATTTGACAGATAGAGAAACAGCAAGAGAGGGAACACAAGCAGGGGGAGTGGGAGAGGGAGACGCAGGCTTCCCGCTGAGCAGGGAGCCCGATGTGGGGCTCGATCCCAGGACCCTGGGTTCATGACCTGAGCCGAAGGCAGACGCTTAACGATTGAGCCACCCAGGTGCCCCCAGAAATATGTTTATTAATCAAATGAGGAAATGGAAATATAGCCAGATATCAGAGGCTTTCAAGCCAGACCTAGGATCTAATCCTAATTCTACCTCTTAGTAGTTGTGTGACTTTGGTGAATTAGTATTCCTTGCTAAGACTCAGTTTCCTCATCTGTAAAGTGGGGTTCATAATATCTGCCTCATAGAATTGTTTTAAGAATTAAACAAGGTATTCAAGAATCCTCCCATTATTAGTAGGTGGTCAATACATACATATATAAATATATAAACATGTAAATAATCTGTTTACATACATAAATATACAAATACATAGAGAGAGAAAAGGGGAAGTGTTCTGTAGAAGAGCTAGAAGATAGAAAAAAAAGACAAAACAATATACTGTAAACACTTACATATAAAATATTTTGGGGTCCATCCTAGATGAAAAAAATTCATTTTGTCTGTTCTGAATACAGATACTACACTTGATCTTAGCCAAAAGGCCGAGAAGCGATCTCTGTTCTGAATACAGAGAGGAACTTTGGGCAGTCCTCAGCCAAGTGTTTCCTATTAGCATCAAACCAGTACTTTCTCCTCCCTGAGACAGAGCGCCTCCAACTCTCTGTTCTTTCTTGAACTTGAACTTGTTTGACATTGCTAATCCTGGGTCTCCCTAATTTCATACGGTTGGCTGGAATCTGCCTCAGGGGTAGCCAATCCTATTTTGCATGCACCCAGCCCCGACTCCCATCCCTGGGCCTCTCTGCCCAAGTTTCCAGTAATTCCCCTTCCTCCTGGGAGCAGCGTTCTTTCCCAACTGGCTCCCTGGATCATGGGGCCTGTCTTAGGGCTCTCCACACCTCCTTTCCTGTAGTCTAATCCTGAGTTTGAGGCACTGCTATTTGACACTGACAGAAAAGAGTGACTAGTATTTGTCTAGTGACTGGATGAGCCAGTAGGGGTAAAAACCAAATCAAACCATAGTTAATGTCAAACCCAAAATGGTTTAGAGCATGTGTGCTAGGATTCCTGCTTTCTCTCCAGCTCCCAGCATAATGTCTGGTACAGAGCTGGAGCTTGGTATGTAGTTGTTGGAAGGAAGGAAGGGAGGAAAGAAGGGAGGGAGGGAGAGAGGAAGGGAGATGTTCTACAGGGACATAACCCCATTAGGATAGATCAGCTTGAACTTTTTCATCCCCACTGACCTGGCACTTAATGTGTGTTCACTGGTTTGAGTCAGATCAATAAGCATTTTACTGAGCACCTACTGTTTATGTAGCGTACTGCAGGGCTAAAAGCCAAAACTGACTGCCAGATGTGGTGATGTCAGGGCATATATTTTGTAAGCTTCAGCCAGAGGCTTTCTAAAATGACTGATGGATATGGAAATATAATATATACATTTTCCCATCACTAGGCTCCACGAGAGACTCTGAGAACTGAGAGGGAAAGCTGCGGACTCACTCCCTTCCACAGCAGTCCGAAAGCGGGAAGGTGCTGTGGGAGGTAGCAGCTTGAGTTCGGGTTCTGGCTGTGCCGCTAGCCCCTCGAAGAGTGCTGAGCAAGCGGCTATCCTCTCTGCTTCTGCTTCCTTATTTACAAAAATAGACAACTGGACATGGTTCTCGGGAAGGATTCCTTCTGATCAGTAATTGTATATTTGTTTACCACCCCCAAATAGTTTTAATCCAAATATTTATTTGATGGCTCTAAAGGTCAAAGTGCTCGAAAGGATTACACAAGGCAAATTATTTTGGATAAAAAATAAGTAGTATAAAAGCATTCAAGAAACCCCTTTTAAAAATCAGCCAATGATTTAAGAAGTACTGTATCCATAGTGAAGAGTCTGTGTGAAGCAAGTGAGAGTAGGTCCTCACGAGCCCTATACTACATTTTCACTGAAGGACTTTCACTGTAAGACTTAGGTCTAACACTAGCTAATATTTTGAGTCCTATTATCAATAAAGTTTAATTATAGAGTTGCCATTTTCTCTTTCAAAATAATTATGACTAATGTATTTTATATATATATGATGTATATATATATATAATGTAATATATATATATTAGATTTTTATTTATTTATTTGACAGAGAGAGAGAGGGGGAGAGAGGGAACACAAGCAGGGAGAGGGGGAGAGGGAGAAGCCGGCTTCCCACCGAGGAGGGAGCCCGACCCGGGGCTCGATCCCAGGACCCTGGGCTCATGACCTGAGCCAAAGGGAGACGCTTAACCAACTGTCACTAGATAGTTTAAACAGCAGATTGAACACAGCAGAAGATAGGATAGGTTAACTCAAAAACAGGTAGGTCAATAGAAAAATTCCAAAATGAAGGATAGAAATAAAAAGAAATGGAAAAACAAGAGCTGAGTATAAGATACATCAGCCAAATCACTAAAAAAGAAAAAGAAAAAGAAGGTAGATGAGATCATTCCTCTACTCAAAAGCATCCAATGATTTCCCACCTTGCTCAGAGAAAAAGCCAAAGTCCTTAAATTGTGAAAAGGTACTATGCAATCTACAGAACCCCCAAACCATAACCTCTCTGACCTCATCCCCTGTCACACTTCCCCTTGCATATTCTACTCTGGTTACATTGTCCTCCTTGCTGTTCCTCCTCAGGCACACTCACATCTGGGCACATTTGCTATGAACCCTGCCTTCCTGGACCCTCCTATTCAAAACTGCTTTGCCTCTTTCTAGTACTTTCTCTTCCTTCTTCTCTACTTTATTTTTCTTCATAGCTCCTATCATTTATGACACGCTAATTATAAATGAATTTGTTATCTGCTGGATACTAGATATAAATGTGGGATTATCTTATTGACTGCTGTATTTCCAGTGCCTAAAACAGTGCCTGGCACATGTAGGCACTCAAATATTGTGAAATGCATGTTAAGTAAGATTTGCTGCACTCCCTGACACTTCTCTGAAACTAAAGGCATAAAGTTACTAACCCATTATCTGTAAGGTAAAGATTTTGACTTATTTTCCAGTGACGATTAGTTTTTGTTAGTTTATCCCACTCAAAGTTATTCTAGAAGTCTAAATCAGTCTTTATACCAATCAACTTATTAATAAGGAATCACTGAGACACTATCAGGGAATTCACTAGGCTATAATAATCAGACCATCTTACATATTATGGAATGCATTCAGAAACAAAGAAAAATTAGAAAACAGAAAAGTATTTTGCACTTACTCATCTGACATAATTTTTTTGCCAAATGGTAGTCTTGGCCCATTTCTGCTCTCAGGAACTGGAAAACATTAAGAAATTCTTCAGATAAGTACTTTCCCCAGAGAGAATTTAAATGTCAATTATAAACTCCCTAAAAAATATTCCATTAATGATGAACTATTTGGCTTTTAACATTTACATGTTTTTCCAGGAGTGAGTCTATAATCAATCAATCTATTATTTAAGGACTTCCCATGGCAAGGCAACAGAGAACAAGTATGATACCTCCATGTTGCTGCAGCCATACTACATATCTACCACTTAACAACTTGAGAATAAATAGGTTGATTCAACTGGCAGAGATAATAAAGACATTAATCACTTTAATATCCCTTTGGTTCAGACACTTTTATTCATAAACTTCATCCATGATTACATGACAATGTTAAGTTTTAAAAAATGTAGATTTACAATGATGTATATTTAATATTTTCCAGCTCTTATACCATCCAGTTTTTGTTTTACTATTTTATTCTATTTTTATTTTTACAAAGTGTATTTTTGTATGTAGGAAATTTAAAAGCTAAATAAACACATTCTGTCCCCAATTAAAAAGCATTTACATTTCTACCATCCAGAGATGTTTATTTTTAGCATCTTCATGTGTATTGTTTTAGTGTTTTTCCATCAATGAACACATATTTACAAAAACTAGGATTACTCAGTAACTTTTTAAAAATAAACCACATATCATGATCTTTTTCTCCCCATAAAATTAAATATTCTTATATTTTTTACTTAGGCTACAGTTTACTAATCTCCTATTCTAACTTATTTAGACTGCTTCCATTAAAAAATAACCCTATACTTGGATGGTTGCTGTTGCTTGTGTGAGATATATTCTGAACCCAGGCAGGTACACTAGGCTTACTGGGCAAGAGACAGGGGCATGGTGTATTAGAAGACACTTCCCACATGTTTCCAGACATGTGATACATACCCAGATACCATTTTAAGAAGTTCTCTACCAGTTTTCTCGGTTTCTTCCATGAGTATTAGGTTATTTACATTTTTCTAAAGTAAACAGAATTCTTCTGAAGATTTTTCTATAAGCCATTACTTTCACCACAATCCCCACTTACTGCCATATTATTAATAAATGCTATATTAAACTCATTAAATAGAATTCTCTTATATTTTTAAAATCTTTTTGTCTAAGGTTAAGATCTGTTCATTTTTACTCCTATTTGTGGTTTCCTTCCATTTTAATTATGATATCTTGTGGTTTATCTATGTCATTCTTTTTTCAAATATCCTGCTCTTAAACAGATATACTAATTTGGTTTTTACTTTGAATTTTATTTAATTTTTTTCTTATTTACATTATGTTTATTTTGTTCTTTTTCTACGCTCTGGCATTAATATTTAGTTCATTTGTTGTCATTCCTCCTTTAATCATCATCATCATCATCATCAAAGCATTTGAAACTTTGAGCTTTTTTATAAAGTTTCAGTATTTGGTGTTGTAGTTATCACTATTTTCTAAATAGTTTGTGTGTTTAGTTTTGATTTTGATTTTTAATTCAAGTGTCATCTAGAAGAATATCTTTTAGTTTTAAGTAGTTTTAATTTGTTATTGTAATCATTTTTGTTTTCAATGTGTAGTTTAACTGGTCAGAGTCAGAGAATATGACCAGTTTAATATACAGCTATTGTTTATGTTTTTAAATCTTTATGGAAAATTTAAATATACACAGATGTAGAAAAAATAGTAAAAGAAGTACATAGCCCCAATTCTCACCTTCAAAAATTAATATTTTGCCAATCTGATTTTATCAATATCACCACACACTTTTCTCCACTGCCTAGATTATTTATTATTATTTTGCCTAGATTATTTTAAAGCCTTTTACAGATATCATCTCATTTCACTTTAAATTAAAAACCCAATTACACTATGACTAGTACACCTAACAAAATTAACAAGAATTTCTCAATATCAACTAAGATCTAGTCTATTTAACAAAGCATCATATTAATAATACTAGCTTCAGAAAATGACAAGGAACATGGAATCAATAAGTGTCCTTTGCATTGACCTATTTTTGGGTGTGTGTGTGTTAACAAAAATATACATATTTCCTTTTAACAGTTCAAAATGCAGTGAAATTAAGAAATTCATGCAATGGATATTTGGCTAAAGACTTTTATGAGAATTGCTTAAAACTTCAAAGTCAAGCTAAAGTTAAATGAGAATAGAGGCTTAAACAAATTGGTTTTAAATTATTTGTGACATTCAAAATAAAGAGTTGGGACTTTCAGAGAAGATGGCAGAGTAGGAGGTCCTTACACTCACTTCATCCCACGAATACAACTAGATAACACTCATCCCTGCAAACAACAGAGATAATGACCCTAAGACTGGCCAAACAAACTCCACAACTGGACGTAGAGAAGAGGCCACATCGAGGAAGATAGGAAAGGCAAGGACTCGGTGGGAACTCAAACTCCATGGATCTGAACACTGGAGGGAGGGAGCCACGGGCATGAAGAGGGGTGAGAAACAAGACTAACACATGGGGGAGCCTGCAAGGGGAAGAGGAATCCCCATAGCATTTGGCTTTGAAAATCAGAGGGGCTGAAATCGGTGAGTGCTTACAACCATCGGTACTTAAAGCCTGGAACTTTAAAAATCAGCAGGCTTGGCTCTGGGAGAGCCCAGAGGGCAATAGGAAGCTGAGCACCTACCATTAAAGAGACAGCACAGCAAAGAACCTGCAGAGATAGGCTTGGAAACAGCAGTTTGAAAGGCGTCTGGGGCTTATGGGAGGGAGATTTAGTTACCGAGCTCAGAGTTTGCTGAGGAACTTCTCCAGGAACAGAGGAGCTGGCAGGCTCCATTTCCCTCCCCTGCCCCTCATCAGAAATACACAACCACCTGTGGAAACCCTGAATAGCCAAAGCAATCTTGAAAAAGAAAAGCAAATCTAGAGGTATAATTCCAGACTTCAAATTATATTACAAAGCTATGGTAATCAAAACAGTCTGGTACTGGCACAAAAACAGACACATAGACTAACAGAACAGAATAGAAAACCAGGAACTAAACCCACAATTATATGGTCAATTAATCTTCAACAAAGCAGGAAAGACTATCCAGTGGGAAAAAGACAGTCTTTCCAAAAAATGGCATTGGGAAAACTGGTCAGATACATGTAAAAGAATGAAACTGGACCACCATACACAAAAATAAACTCAAAATGGATTAAAGACCTAAATATGAGGCCTGAAACCATAAAAATCCTAGAAGAGAACACAGGCAATAACGTCTCTGACATCAGCCATAGCAACATTTTTCTAGATATGTCTCCTGAGCAAAGGGAAACAAAAGCAAAAAATAAACTACTGGGACTACAACAAAATACAAAGTTTCTGCACAGCAAAGGAAGCAATCAACAAAACTAAAAGGTAACCTACTGAATGGAAGAAGATATTTGCAAATGACAAATCTGATAAAGGGTTAGTATCCAAAATGTAATAAAGAACTTATACAACTCAACACCCAAAAACCAAATAATCCAATTAAAAATGGGCAGGACATGAACAGACATTTCTCCCAAGAAGACATTCAGATGACCAAGAGACACATGAAAAAATGCTCAATATCACCCATCATCCCGATGATGCAAATTGCAAATCAAAACTACAAATATCACTTCACACATGTTGGAATGATAAAATAAAAAACACAAGAAACAGCAAGTGTATGGAGAAAAAGGAACCCTCTTGCATTGTTGGTGGGAATGCAAACTGGTGCCGCCACTGGAAAACAGTATGGAGGTTCCTCAAAAAGTTAAAAATAGAACCACCTTATGATCCAGTAATTGCACTACTGGGTATTTGCACCCCCCAATACAAAAACACTAATTCAAAGGGATACATGCACCCTTATGTTTATTGCAGCATTATTTACAATAGCCAAATTATGGAAGCAGCCCAAGTGTTCACTGATAGATAAATGGATAAAGAAGATGTGGTATATATATACGATGGAATATTCGGGACTAAAGAGTACACTTATCATGATAAAAAAAGAAGAAGAATTTAAAGATTGTAACAATGAATACATGTATACATTTTACCTAGATTCAACGCTTCTTAACATTGTGCTACATTTGCTTTATCTCTCTCTTTTGATAGATAAGATGTAAATATAGCCTACATATATATTTTTCACAGAAACATTTGAAAGTAAGTTACAGACATTGTTAAACTTCACCCTGAAATATTCAAGCATGGGTCTCCTAAGTTTATCCTTCAATGTAACATCATATCCTTAACACATTTAAGAAAATTAACAATTCTGTAATAAAATATTACATTTAAATTAAGACTTCCCAGTTTGTCTTTAAAATGCTTTTATAGCTGGATTTTTTTCTAGTCAGGATTCCATGAAAATTCATGTTTTGATTTTAGTTGTTAACCACCTTTATTTTTTTTTTTAATTCCATCACAGATAATATACAGTGTTATATTAGTTTCAGGTGAATATAGCACTTCAACAATTCCATACATCACCTACTGCTCATCACAAGTGCACTCCTTAATCCCCATCCCCTTTCACCCATACTCTCACCCACCACCCCTCTGGTAATCATCAGTTTATTCTCTACAGTTAAGAGTTTGTTTCTTGGTTTGTGTCTAATCTTTCAAGTTTTCTATAGGTTTGAAAATTTTAAAATAAAAAGTTGAGGGCACCTGGGTGGCTAAGTCAGTTCAGTAAGGGTCCATCTCTTGATTTCAGCTCAGGTCATGAACTCATGGGTCATGAAATCAAGCCCTGCACCCGGCTCCAAGATCAGCAGGGAGTCTGCTTGAGATTCTCTCTCTCTGCACCCCCCCTCAAATAAATAAATCTTTTTTTTTAAGATTTTATGTATTTATTTGACAGAGAGACACAGCGAGAGAGGGAACACAAGCAGGGGGAGTGGGAGAGGGAGAAGCAGGCTTCCCGCGGAGCAGGGAGCCCAATGCGGGGCTCAATCCCAGGACCCCGGGATCATGACCTGAGCCAAAGGCAGACGCTTAACGACTGAGCCACCCAGGGGCCCCTCAAATAAATAAATCTTAAAAAAATAAAAAAATTATAAATTAAGAAATTAAAAAGGGATGCATTCTGAAAACCGAAGAGTTTAAGCACAGGTATAGTAAGATCTGAACAACAGCAATCTCATATTGTCTGAATATTTACCTGAAAATGAAGTCATGGATTACTTTTATAATTAAATGTCAAAAAACAAATAGAAAAGAAATAAAACGAACAACTCCAAAGAGTTTGGTTATGGCAAATAGGGTCTTTGAATGCTCTATGATTCATGAATGATTTAGATGTTCAATCAAAGGAAATGTGGTTAAGTAAAATCTTTCCAATACTTGGCATCAATTTTTTTCTCCCTTGGTAAAAGCAACTTATAATACTAAGATAGTTTCAAAACTATATATGCTTCTGTATTTCTGAAACAAATAATGCAATATATGTTAAGAAAAAAAAAAGAAGAAGAAGAAGATAGCAGGAGGGGAAGAATGAAGGGGGGTAGTCGGAGGGGGAGACGAACCATGAGAGACGATGGACTCTGAAAAACAGACTGAGGGTTCTAGAGGGGAGGGGGGTGGGGGGATGGGTTAGCCTGGTGATGGGTGTTGAGGGGGGCACGTTCTGCGTGGAGCACTGGGTGTTATGCATAGACAATGAATCATGGAACACTACATCAAAAACTAATGATGTAATGTATGGTGATTAACATAACAATAAAAAATTATTTAAAAAAAAACAACTGTATATGCTTTATTCTAGGAGGAAAATACAGTAAATGTGTCTGATTTCTTTATATGATTCCATGGCTGGCATTTGGGTTAAATTATATAAAAAGGCAAGCACATTAGTATTTTCTTTATGCTAAAACTCTAATTGAGGCTTCTACCCATGATGAAGTTAACAGAGACCAGATTTACTCTCCTTCCTAAAACAACCAGAAAATTGTACAAAATATATGAAACAAGAGTTTTCAGTAATTGACAGCAGGTGTCATAGGAGAATGATCTGAGAGAAGGGCAACAGGTGGGTCCTATGATTGCCTCAGTTTACAGCTGTGGGCTGTCTCCAGGTACCAGCACAGAGAGGGAGCATCCAGAGACCAGTGATCTGAGTTGAAATAAGATAGTCTGAAGTTCCGAGAGGCCAATGTTATATTTTCCAGAGAGCTCCAGCAATCTGCAGAAGTGTGTTTTTGAGTCTGTGGCTGGAACTCATCTGCATGAGTATGCAGAAACTAACTGAGGCTAGGAAAGAACTGTTGGAATAATCAGGTAGAACAATCACTGGATCTCACACAGGGTCTGAACAGAGCTCATGTTTTCTCCAGCCAGAGTGGAAGGTCCTCTTAATACACAGAGCACTGGGAAGAGTCCTCATTAGGGCATTGCCTTAGACTACATATATGTAGTCTCCCTACAATGTAAAGGCTGCTCTGGACCCTCCCAACAAAGCTTAAAAAGCAAGACTCCGAAAGAGAAACCTGCTTCCAAGAAACTCAACTATATCCCAGATGAAAATCCAAAAATATTTAAAGGAAAACAACAAAACTTGTATCAAAGAACATAAAATTTATAATGTCTAGGATTCAGTAAAAAATTACCAGGCATGCAAAGATGCAGAAAAATATGACCCATACACTGGAGAAAACTTAATCAATAGAAACTGACCCAGAATTACAAAAATGATAGCACAGCAGACAAGCATGTTAAAATAGCTATTATAAATATGTCATATGCTCAAAAGTAAAATATGAACATGAGGAGAGAATAGATATAAAAATATTTAAATAAAACCTGTACAGATGATAAAATATATGAAATTTTATATATGTACACACATATGGAGAGAGAAAAAGAGGGAGAGAGGAAGGCAGGGAGGATGGGATTAACAGCAGATTATAACTACAAAGAAAAGATCAGAACTTGAAGACAGAACAGTAGAAATTTCTAAAATGAAATAAATAGAGAAAACAAACAAAAAAGGAACATCAGTGACCTTTGGATCAACATTGGGTGGTCTAACATACATGTAACTTGTAGCCCAGAAGAAGAGAGGGAGAGCAGAGGTCAAAAAAAATTATTTGAAGACTTAATAACTGAACATTTTCCAAATCTGGTATAAACTACAAACTCATAGATCCAAGAATCTCAATGAACAGAAACAACATGAAGAATACCACATCAAGGTATATCAAAATCAATTTGCCAAAAATAAAAATACAAAAGAAAAAAACTTTAAAGTCTTAGAAAAAAGACATATACAGGTGGTCAAAAGTAGTAACAGCAGACATCTTGTCTGGAACTATGCAAACTATTTGACAATGAAGCAACCTTTTAAAGTACAGATCTTCCTCAACTTACGATGGGGTTATATCTCAATAAACACATCATAAGTTGAAATATGCATTTAATACACCTAACCTACAAAACATCATAGCTTAGCCTAGCCTACCTTAAACATGCTCAGAACACTTACATTAGGGCAAAATCATCTATTTTATAATAAAGTATTGAATATCTCATGTAATTTATTGAATCCTGTAAAAGTGAAAAACATAATGGTTGTAAGTGTATCACTTGTTTATCCTCATGATGGTATGGCTGGCAGGGAGTTACAGCTGCCCAGCATCATGAGAGAGCAATCATACCACACATCGCCAGCCAAGGAAGAAATAAAAATTCAAAATTCAGTTTCTACTGAATGCGTATCATTTTCACATAAGTGTAAAGTCAAAAAATTCTAAGTTGAACCATATAAGTCAGGGACCGTCTGTACTGAAAAATACCTGGCAACCTACAAATCTCTAGCTCATGCATCCTTTAAAAATGAAGATAAAATTAGGACTTTTTCAGATAGACAAAAGCTGAGAGTATTCACCACTTGCAGAACTGCATTATAAAAAAATGCTATAGCAAGTTTTTCAGGTAAAAGGAAAATAATACTGGGTGAAAATTCGGATCTACACAAAGCTACAGAGAACACCAGAAAGGTATTTCAAAAAAAGATATTTTCCAATTAAAAAAAACTTTTTAAAAGATTGACCATTAAAAATAAAAATAATAACAATGTATTATAGGGCTTACAGTATATATGGAAGTAAAATGTATGACAATAATACAAAGCATAAGAAGGGGGAGGTTAAAATGTACTGTTATGAAGTTCTTACAATATACGTGAAGTTCTATAATGTTAACTGTGACACCACAAGTGGGGTAAAACTGTTTTGCTTTCCATAGAATTATCAGTAAATGTTTATGTATAATTTTTGCATGTGATCTTTCAGGCTTCAGTGCCTTTGTATATACTGTTTCCTATGCAAGGAATGCCTTCTCCACTTGTTTATCGGATGAACTCCTAAGCTTCCCTCTTCCTTCAAGATTCTAAGACTCCATGTCTCTTCCTCTAAAAATTCTTCCTTTATCCCATTTCTCCTACTTCTATTCTCAATTAGTCACTTAATCCTCCTTATTCCCGGAGAACCTCATAAATACTTCTGCTGGCACACATTTCATCTTATTATAAATTGTACTATATACATAATATGTAACTGTTAGTTCTCAGGGTAAGGACCTATCTTTCTTATTTACCTCTAAATATTCCCCCAAACTAGCATGGTGCCCAGTTATGTAGAAAGCATTCCTTAAAGCAGTCCTTGCAGAGTTTTATGCCAAAACTTCTTTGATTCCTACTTCTGCCTTTACCAGAATACTGTAAGTCACTTCCAGAATCTTCTCTCACCTCTAACCTCATGAAGGTAGTGAGAGAGATGAGTAGCTAGGTGAGCATCTGTATATGGGCAAGGATCTCTTTACTATTTTTTAAATCTTCAAGGCTATACACTATTTAGTAATTTTAATATTTTTAAGTTTCTTAAATTACAACACACAAGTTAAACTTACTTCTGCCATTAATTCTAATGGGGCATGAGTATCCTTATTAGGGTTACTGTCTTCATCATTATCTTCATCATTGGTATCATCTTCACCATCATCGTCCGTTGATTCAGACAACTTATCATCAATATCCTGAAGGCAATGTTTGTTATTTTTCTCCTGCTCTGCAAGGACTGCATCTTTGCTCACTTGACCTAAAATATACATAATTTAATCAATAAATATTGAAAAGTTCAAACATTAAAAATAGTTACTCCTAAATTAAAATGTAACAAATGTACATGTTTACTCTATGGTTTCCTAGAGTTTATTTTTTTCATGACTAAATAGCACCACAATGAACTTACGTGATTTCCATTTCCAAAAAAAGTAATAAAACTGCCAAGAGGAAAAAATCCAAACCAATAACATTGAATTAATGTTAGTGTTAATTGTTTGGTGCTTGAAATTTTAATATATGGAAAACAATTTGTTTATTAAAAAATATAATGATTTCAAGAAAAAAGAAATTAATGCTATTCTACCTCCAGAAATACATTTCCTAAACTGTTCTTATAGGAAAGTAAATATGAAGTAAAGCCTGGAGACTAAAATAAGATTGGAGAAGCTGAACAGTAAATAATTCTTAGGCAGGTCAGGTCACTGCTTGGATACTTGAGAATAAAGTTCTTTCTTTTTCTACACACACAAACAACTTAGGAAGAGACATGTCAAGTATTCTAGATATAACCAGAGGCTACAGAACATTATTAATGATTTTTCTTAATGTCAAGACACAGGAGTTATGACCAAACACAGATGACTGAAAAATAAAAATAAGCACTAATGACTACCCCAATCAGTGCCCAGCACTATGAGGAGTCATAGGAACACAAAAATGAACAGTTCTTGACCTCAGGTACTCATTCACACTCTAAGTGGGGAGTCAGAAACATACTGGATAGCTATAAAACAGTATGGAAGTACGGTGACAGACATGTGCTAGGTAAATGAGCGCACAAAGGAGGGCCCCCTGCCACTCTGGAGAGTAGTCAGGAATTGTCCAGTCTGAGTGGATCAGTTTTTCCAAAGAGAGAGGACAACATGAGCCAATGCAGAAACAAGAATGCGTGTGGTGCGACAAAGCACTTTGACGCTGCTTGAGGGTCAAGGTTGAGACTGCAATGGTGACAGATGTGTCTGGAAGGGTAGGTAGATCATGGGGTCTTATGGACCAGAAGCCTTGGAGTTAGGACCATATCCTAAGAATAAAGGGGCTACTAATAAAGGATTTTGAGTAGGAAAACAAGTATGATCAATTCTGCATTTCTGAAGGAACAGTTGGCTAGCAGCGTGGACAGTATAGTTGAGGGGAGACTGAAAAAAAGAAAAAAAGAGCAAGGAGAGAGGCTAGAGGTCTCTTTAAAAAGTCCAGGTGAGAGAGATGATTAACGATAGGGCACTGGTAACACAGGGATGGAGAGGAAGGACAGATTAGAGAAATATTTAAGAAGTAAAATCTCCATGATACAATCTATTGGAACATTTTCCAATAGTTTAATTCTTACACTATCTTCATTCATTTTGCCATATATGAGTATCACCTATACTATTTACTCAGTATTTTTCCTTGAATCTACTTTAACATATAGATTTTATCAGATCATATTACCATCCATGAAACTGATATATGTATGAATAAAAGTAACATACAATAATCTTAACAAACATTATATACCATTACTCTTCTGAACATTACATATGTTAACTCTAATTCTCTCAACATCTCAATGAGGTGTATACTATTGTCACCCTGTTCATAGATGAAACTGAGGGACAGAGAGGTTAAATAACCTACCCGACTTCACACTAGTAAATTCAAGTGGCAGATCTGGCAGTCAGTGTGGCTCAAGTCCATATTCGTAACCATGTCTTACTTTTTTCCGACACATATGGAAATACAGTACCATTAAACTAATTTTTTTTTTTAAAGTTTACTGTGTGTATAGCCAAACTGTGGAAAGAGCCAAGATGTCCATCGACAGATGAATGGATAAAGAAGATGTGGTATATATACACAATGGAATATTATGCAGCCATCAAAAGGAATGAGATCTTGCCATTTGCAACGACGTGGATGGAACTGGAGGGTGTTATGCTGAGTGAAATAAGTCAATCAGAGAAAGACATGTATCCTATGACCTCACTGATATGAGGAATTCTTAATCTCAGGAAACAAACTGAGGGTTGCTGGAGTGGTGGGGGGTGGGAGGGATGGGGTGGCTGGGTGATAGACATCGGGGAGGGTATGTGCTATGGTGAGCACTGTGAATTGTACAAGACTGATGAATCACGGATCTGTACTTCTGAAACAAATAATGCAATATATGTTAAGAAAAAAAAAAAAGAAGAAGAAGAAGAAGATAGCAGGAGGGGAAGAATGAAGGGGAGTAAGTCGGAGGGGGAGACGAACCATTAGAGATGATGGACTCTGAAAAACAAACTGAGGGTTCTAGAGGGGAGGGGGGTGGGGGGATGGGTTGGCCTGGTGATGGGTATTAAAGAGGGCAATTTTTGTGTGGAGCACTGGGTGTTATGCACAAACAATGAATCATGGAACACTGCATCAAAAACTAATGATGTAATGTATGGTGATTAACATAACAATAAAAAATTATTAAAAAAAAAAAGTTTACTGTGTGTTTCCAAAAATTATCTCTTTGGGAAAGACTACTGAGTGAGCTTGTCAACTGTTCTGGCTCTACCGATGTCTTACACAGTCTCAAACTGAGCTTGCGTGACACCTTGCTTTTATGGAAGATTTTGAGGGTCGGGAAGTCTTGTGACATGGGAGTTTGGCCATTAGCTACTCCAAATCATGTAGAAACACTTGTTAGAAAGAAAATGAGGAAATCCAGGAGAGCTCAAGAGAGGACAATGTTAAGAAAACCCGGGCCAAAAAAAAAAAAGGAAAAGCTGATAAAAACTCCCCACTCTAAAGCAAACTCCTGACTTAACAAAAAAAATGCTACCCTGGAAAGGGATACTGCTCCTTCCTAGAATGGCTGGGCTCTTCAGGCCATCTACCTGCTTCTGTTTCATTTACAGTCTCCATTCAGCTCACAGCCACCCTGATCTTCCAGTGGGTACCCAGCCTGCTCAGACTCATCACACTGATGTCATCAGGGGAAGGTCATAATAAGGAATTAAGGACTTCATGTGATGTCACAGGAATGGTCTCCTTCAATTCACGAACACTGAGCATCAAGGGAAATTTTCTGATCCCTAGAGCTAAGATAGTCCTCCCCTAGGTGCCATTTATTTCTATAATAGCACCCCCCACAACATGTCACGGCCTTATTTTTTATTATTTATTTTTAATAGTTGACTATCTCCCACAAGAATGTGAACTTCATAAAAGTAAGGACCTTGTCTATTTGCAAACTATTGTATCCACAGCTTCTAAAACAGTCCTGGCACTCAATAAACCATTGTTGAATGAATGGAACCTAATGCTTTCATAGGTATTTTAATTCATTTTAAAATTTAATACCTCATCATTATCATTTTATATAATGTATACCATGGATGCCATACCGGACTGCATATCAGAATCATGTGGTACATGAATTTCAAAAATTACTGGTTCCTATGACCTGCTCCAGACCTATAGAGTTGTCAATATCCCAAAGGTCATGCAGGAGGGCTCATTTAGAAGCTACATTTACTCCCACAAAACAAATGTTATCACCTGTGTTTTCCTTTAAGAAGGAAGATGACCGTAGCTTAGACTGTAGATTCATTTCTCTATCTTTATTTTCAATATACTTTGAAGATACTCTATTTTCAGTATTCCTTAAAGAAGTTGTATTTTCAATATTTTTTGAAGAGACTTCCTTCCTAAATGTTAAAGTAAATAGTGAAAAAATACTTTCCTAGGTCACAGTTCTGTTTAAAGCTTCATATGCATTCACACACACTCACTTAATATAAACACAGAATATATCAACAATAAACTGAATAGCTAAAATGTAATATCTTTTTTGTGGAAAAGCATTAAAAATAATTTTCACTGATGATTAAAATTCTATTTCTACTTGGCATTTGTCATTGTGTAATGATCCTTAAAATCTTTTCAGGGTTCTTTAACATAGAGCATACAAGCAATCAATTATATGAATGTCTTTGCCACATCATTGTAATATGTTGGAACAAAACTAGGAATACTAGACTTGAGGTTTTTTCTAGATTTACAGACCAATTCTCACCATTGCTAAATGCTACACTTGCGGAAAGAGTCCAAGATGAATATCAAACCTTGGTCATAACATAAAGTAGCCTGCTTTTTCATTAAGTAGCTGAAATAAAAATGGGTTAATTTTTCTCTTTTAGCCTTTAAGCCCTGAAACTTCATGTCAATAATAATGTATTAAGACAGAGGATTCATGTGTGGTGCACTCTGTTTACAAAGACAGGTACTCATGCTGGTGGAAAAATAATCCCAAGTCTCTTTTCTGTGGTCTTAAGATTCTTTTAAAAAAATGTCTCCTCTACAAATTAAAAAAATTCAACTTCTACTTTGCATGTCAAGATATAAAAAGATGTGAAGTGTTTTCTTTCCCCAGTTATGTTGGCTCTTTTTCCCACTGACATATGAATCCAGAACATGAGTATGGTTACGTCAGTGATCTTGTATAGTGATTTAGCAAACAGGCTGAACAGCTTGTTATATTCTTAATATTATGGGAGGGAACGGAATCTCACTTCCTCAGTATATGCTACTAAAGCAAAACCCCTCTCTGGTAATGAAAAATTCAAAGTTGATTTACATTTGTTCTGCCTCTGCCCTCCTTGATTTTCTAATTATGAAAAAAAAAAAAAAAAAGGATCCAAGATGAAACTCTACATCTAAAAAGTTGAGAAGTCAGTTAAGTATTTAATTTCTAGTGAGATTCCTGTTACGTCAAAGCTTGCCACAAGTGAGTACTAGAATTTATATGCTCTACTATCTAATCTAAATAAAAGAACTTTGCTGTCTTCCCCCCACAACGAATTAGTGTTTTGTTGAATCTAAGATACCATGTATTTACTATAAGATACACTGTTATTTAAGAAAGAAAAAGCACTGCCGAATTTAAGTGTAAGATGCCATCAACTGTAAGAGAATATGTGTGCTTTAGAATCTATGAGATATGGTACTTACATATTCACTAATTATATCCCTAAGAGAGGGAATTTATCTGGTATAGTTCTGGGTATTTAAATAATTGGAAATGCCTCTAATAACCTTAATGACACAACATGGAGGAAGCCAATGCCCAATATTAAATGGGATATTACTATTTGGAAGCAGTGAACATACCATCAAAATACATATGAGACTTGACAAAATCATCATTTTAACAGTAAAATATGAATTCCTTTTCTGCTCACTTTCTGTAGTCTTTCTCATTCAAAGAATCAAAGTCCCAAAGTCCAACCTCCTCTTCAACTATTGACTTCCATTTGTGAAAATGACGTTATTTACGGTAATGCCTCTAACCATTTAAGAAAAATAGGTAACCAGTATACTCTAAAAGATTTGTTTTCTTTAATTCAAATAGTTACAGTTGAGGAAAGATTCAAATTTTTACTTTATGTAATATCCTTTGGAAATGGAAGATATTTAATTTAGTTTCTACTTAGAGAGTCAGTCAAGTTAGATATCCTACTGAAACATATTTATGTTAGAGCTTAGATAACCTAGATTTTAGGACTGTTCCTAAAATTCTATTAAGAGCTTTAGGCATATTTATGAAGTGGCCCCAAATTTCTATTGGAATTAATAATTTTTTCAGTAAGTTTGGATTTTAAACTTTGCTTTAAAAACCATTTAAATTTGTCAAACATAGGCTTAAAACTGAAATTGATTAAAACTTACTTTTCTGAGGATGTCCTAGCTACATTTAGAGAGACTTGTGTTGGTAAGGTACAAAGTTTGCTTGCCAATCTTGGTCTACGTCCAAAGAGGCATTTACTTAAGGTATAAAAATAGAAATAAAAAAAAACTTGTCATTCATCTTAGAAGAGATAAAACATATGATTATGGAAAACCTATAGATACAATTTTTTCAATTGAATGCTGTGGATTTACTTCAGCCATTCTCCTCAACATCTTTAAGTATGCTTGAAAGCTTGACCCCAAACCCAAGAGATCAAAGGTCCAAGATCTATAAAACTTCATCTAGCATTAAAGATATATTGTACTTTTATTGCTGAAAATTGTTAATTAAGTGTGATTTGTTGGGTAGACAAAATCTTTCACACATGGGAACCATGGGGAAAAGAGGTAATAATAAATATGGGCTTTGCATGCCCCAAAATTTGAAACTATTTGTTTCTAAGTCCATACACTTCTTATGCCTCAGACTAAAGAAGCAATCAGAAGATTAAGGCAAATGCACTCCCACTGCTTCACCTGACAAAGGAGGAAGTGGAGTTGGTGGCGGTGGTGGGGGGGGTGGCAGAGGAGGAGGTGCTGTCAGCAGGGAGGTAGAGAGTAGAATGAAAGCTATACTGAGAAAATTCATCAACTTTCCAGGTCACACTGCTCCTCCAGCAAAGGTCCTCTGATTTTCTATTTTCTTACTTGATCTTTTTTTTTTTCTAGGACTGGCCCTGTTTACCTTGAACTCTGGGTAAGGTTCAAGGTGACAAAGTCACACACCTGTGAAGCTTATTGGCTACACTAACAATTCCTCCTCCTCCCTCACTCCAAACAACAATCAAACCAAACCCAAACTCTTCTCTGCAAGTGAACTTGAAGGGAACATGATCTTTTTGTCCTTGCAAAAATTAGTTTGATAAGCAGATGCAATTATTAATGAGATCAAGAGAACAAGTAATCACTCTGCTTTTCTATTTTGGCCCAGGCTGCATTTGATTTATCCCTGGGGTTTAACTCAGGATGTGGATTACCCTTTGCTTCAGTTCCAACACTGCTTATTACAATCTATGAACATCAGTATTCACAGACACAATAATAATTTATTTTCATTAATGACCTACTATTATTATTATTGAAAGTTATATCATACTTCCTTCAAAGACTACAAAAATTTTCTTACATTTTTAAAATTTAATTGTTTCAAACCATGTAATTGGATATAGATACATATTTACATATAGCTTGATATACTTAATGTGGCATTTATTTTTTTCTGATTAGCTATAACAATCTGAAATAAACATAGATTCTCTGTCTTTGATCTGTTATACATTCTTTCTCTTTAATATAAAAGTATGTATTTAATATATAATTTACAACAAAAGCCAAGGTGGACTCTAATTTTAATTTTTAGCTTTGACAGTATGAAAATTAAAATATATGTTGCACGAGGTGAAAAATTTCCCAGCCAATTTTATTCAGAATAAACCAAAATAATATCAGCTTGGCACCATTCTACCACTCTGCCAATAATTGATCACTATGAATGTGTTTTATGATCAACTTTCAAAGTGTAATTTTTCATGGAATTAATAATATAATTTTTTTCTCAGGAGGTAGGAGATGATCATATCAGGAAAGGTTCTGATGAATTATCAGAATCGTGCCTTGAACAAAGCAGGTACTTAATATTTAGCTACTATACTGAAACTGGACCATGATTCTTTTTAACACTAGTCCCTTCAACTAATTGGGGTGATCAGTTTCCCTTATTTAGTAGTAATGATTCATCTCATAGTAAATCTTTAATTTTAAAGTAAATATTCATTTAAAGGGATATTCTGAAAGACATGGGCAAGTATCAAAAGGAAATAGGAATGAACAATGAAAGTTATATAAGTAAAATACAGACTACTTGGTATTTAAGCATTTAAAAAGTAGAAATGACTATTATCTATACCTCTAAATTTTTATCAAAATTCATTTTTCATTTTAAATGTTCTTTTATCTAAGTAACAATTGCTTTGACTGAAGCAAAAGCTCAAGTGCTAATCCATGCATTTCTGGCCTTTCAAATTTAATTGGGTGACAAATGACTGCATTATCTAGTTCTAATTGCTTAAAAGGTATGTGATAGATCAGCTGCACAACTAGAGACATCTTCTTACTCTGACATTGCTTCATTTGGTTCAATCATCACTTTTTCTGAAAGAGAAGAAAAAAAACCAATTCAGTATTTTTTCTGTAGTGATACTCCTAACAGAAATTCCTGATTGGCAAATACACTACAGCATTTTTTGAATGACAAGCAATCTAATAAAGGATTTAACTGCTAAGACTTCAACCACATTCAATCACTCAAGTAGACTATCTTCTTAATATTTAGGACAAAATGGTGATGAAACATAGTCTTTTTAAGTAATGAATCATTTACCCTTTGGGTCAAACACTAGCAATCTGCCATTCTGTTTATATTTTGGTACCTAAAATAGAAGCAAAAATAAAAACTAGCATTATCATTTTAGTTTGAGGTATTTGAAATAATTTATAAATAGCCTTTATATAAACATTTCTATTATCTAGGCTAAAATATAATTTTATATTAAAGCCAATTATTCAGAAACTATGTAAACTAGTGGTAAAAGAGATCTATATAGCATCCTAAAAATAATTTATATAGTCTTATCTTTACAGCATCTGTCTTATCTAGATAATTCTTGCAAAAAACAAAATATTGACTTCCTAAGTCTTTAAACACTGTATAAATTTAGACTATAAATAAAACAATGCAGAACTCTGTCAGAAGGATATTAAATATTTTGGCTTTTTTATTTAGTAGTGTCACTGCCATCCTAACTGAAAAAGCTCATTCTTTTGTATTACGAAATTGGGTTAAAAAAAAAGTCTAGAGAAAGTAGCCCTTCCCTTCTCCCCATTTCACCTTGGAGCTTATGTAAAAAGAGCTATAGGAATAATTTTGCATGTTAGAAAAGTGAGGTATTAAATAAGCCTCTAATTCTCTGCTTCTGTTTTGGTTTTACATAACTTGGACTCTAGATCCAGATCCAAATACAATCAACAGCAGGTTAAGGACTCCCCTTTCATACTGAGCTGACACTAGAAATCATAAATTCAGCTTGGCTCATCCTTCCAAAGCCATGTTTCTCCCCTACTTTAACAAAACAAAACAACGTAAACCACATTCCAGTTCATCTGTGCCATCTGTGTTATGAAAAACAGCATAGTTAAGCCAGAACAAGAAATTTTTCCATGGTATTTCAAGATGAGAGATATTTTAAATAAAATATTTTTATTTCAATAAATACATTTAGAAATTAACCTTTGATTTTTATCCAAAGATACATTTTAAAATACAATTCTTACAAGTTCCCCTATGTATTTATTAATACTTACAAATTACAATGTTTTCTTTGTGCATGTTTACCTTTCTTAGGTTACCCTAAGCAGATTTTCCTGTAAGTTAGCTCTTCACATATTTGAGCAAATTTAATTTTAATTGTTAAGACAAAAATCAACTTTTAACAGTTTTTAAGTATGAGAGAGGCCACACTTAAATTTTTCATAAATAACAATTCACTTGCCCTCTCCTTCCCCAACACTTGCTATCCCCACATCCCAAGCAAGGCTTCAAAAATTAGTAGTAGAAGTACATACTAGGGATTTCTGGAATACAAAATTCAAGGCCAAAACTATGGACAATAAAAGAGAAGCTTCTATTTTGTATTAAGTTTTTCTCTTTTAAAATCTGTCTCCCTTGTACTGATTTGTACTCTGGAATAAAGCACTGGTACATAAACTTTTGTCCCAGGCTTTGTTTTCTGGGAAATCCTGATCAAGCCAGACATTATATATGTTATTAATCTGATTATCCCTCTGAGAAATTCAGAGAGAGCTGAAGTCCATCAAAAAAGCGAGGCATCTTTTCGGGAAAAACAGTTACAGAAGACCAGGGGTGCGTGGATGGCTCAGTCAGTGAAGTGTCTATTTCGGCTCAGGTCATGATCTCAGGGTCGCCTGAGGTGGCGCCCAGTGGTGTCCAGCTCAGCACTCAGCACAGAGTCTGCTTAATATTCTCTCCCTCTCCCTCTGCTCTGCCCCCACCCCGCCCCCCGGCTCACATGAGCGCTCTTTCCCTCTAAATAAATACATAAATAAAATCTTAAAAAAAAAAAAGGTGCAGAAGACCAGACTCTAGGATAAATGCCCTACTTCTCTAGGGCAGTAGAGCTCAAAGGCTGAAACAATGCAATAATGAACCAAATAAGGCCCTAACAAAAGAAATCCAAGATGACCTGTCCTAAGAGGTACTTTCCACAGATTTCCACAGCCCATATGTCTGAGTAGACATCCTCTTTATATTTATATTCTCTCCTTTCTAGCTCTAGGATCTTTATGAATTGCTACATTCTACCTTTTACCTGGATGAAACATCAGGGCATATAATTCTCCCATTTTCACCTGGTAAAAGAAAAACCTAGGATGGGCAGATCCCAGCCCTTGATGGAAACCCAGGCTCTGCTAGGTCTGGATTTATCATTACCTAGGAAATGTCCATTTAATCTCCTTTCATAAAATTGAATTCTATGGGGGAGGGGGAGTACAGGGTGATACTCAAGAGTTAGGGCTCTTTAGAGAAAGAGACTGGATTCATGGCCCAGTTCTACCATTTCCCAAGTAAGCTTCAGTAGGTTACTTAACTTCTTTAGGTTTCAGTTCCTCCATCTGTAAAACAGGAATCCCAATAGTGCCAACTTCATTGGATCAGTGTAAGAATTAAATAGGATGATCTGGTAAAGTGTTTAGCATAGCACCTGGCACACAGGAGGGATGCTGTAGAAACAATGTGATGTTTTATCTAAAGGAAAAACTGGGAAGATGTCCTATAGGGCTGGTTAAGATTGCTTAGGGAGCCAAAAAGGTTTTACTGTGATTGAGACAAGCAGACTAGCTCTGAAGACTTTTAATTAATTAAAAAATCACATAAGCTCCAAAGTAATGATACTTGCTTAAAAAGATCATTGACTCCAGGGAAAAAACAGAGTAATTGAGAACACAGGTAGAATAAAAGCAGTGACTGATAAGCTAAGCAGAATGAGGTCCAGCCCGTTGTATAAGTAATATGTATTTTTCAAAAAACTATCAGTATGCAAAAATACCTCTGAAAGGAAATGCTTTCAGAAAAGAAACATAATAATGGTTGACTCAGTGGGAAAAAGGGATGGCTGCAGGACTGGGGTGGGAGGGAGTTTTTTACTTTATATCCATTTGTATCTCTTGAACTTTGAACAAAATAAATGTATTATCTATTAAAAAAATACCATTTAAAATTTGCAACACTATTTTTATCTCTATGTTTATCCATCTCTTACAGGTATGTAAGCTGTATATTGGCCTTGTGCTACTTTAATTCTCTTTTCCACCCAGTGGTCGCTATTCAAATTGGGGTCATGGTATCCAGAAAGAATGGTATAGAGATGCACACCTTGTATATTCATTACTATTGCATATGGTTAATGTTAACATCACAACATTCATTTAATCAGCCTTTGAGTCTCTACCAAGTATACCCTCTGGATTTTGAACATGGGCAGACTCTTCTGATGTATTTCAACAGTCCCAGTGGTAATGGGAAAAACACAGTTATGATAGTTCCTGATTTCCATGTCTATTTCATGTCCCGATATTCAGTGTCTATTTACAACAAATATTTGATGAGCACCTACGATGTACCTTAGCACAGATATGTTTGTGATAAGCTCTGGGGATACAAGAGAAGCTCAGAATTTTATAGGGGAAACAAGTATCAACTTCCCATATACAGGACAGACCAAGCTTCAAAGCACTGTACTAAATGCTTCCCTCTAATATAATTTTCCATACTGCCCAAACAGGGCCAATCAAATCCCTTCTTTCGACCTCATGGACTAGGGATACCCAAGGGGAGTCAGCAGGCAGTGAAGACAGAATTGGAAAGACAAAGGAAGAGAGAATCTAGTCAACAGAGCTGTCACTGAACAACTTTCCAGTTCCAGAATCCAGTTCTGAGGACTGTCCTCCACGTTTGCTATATTCCTTCAGGTATGATTTCTATAAGTATCCCTAGAATATGATATTATTTTGCCTGCTATGGGAAGCAAGAGTCAGGCTTCACGATGGAGGTGACATTTATTTAGCCAAGTAGGCAGTCAACAGAAGGGGAAGAACAGCAGTGTCTTAGAAAATGGCAATAGATGGAGTTGGATATATATGTGGCAGCAAACTTGAAAAGTCATTAATTACCATGTGCAAAGGATGTGGGGTTTTAACCAGTAGTCAATGGAAAGCAAACCAAGGCTCTGAAGAACAATCATATGATTAGATCTATCTTAGAAAAGAAATGCTGTGGAGGGTAAACCTAAGAGAGAATGGGAGGTGGGGAAACCAGTTACAAGGCCATTATAATAGTCTAGAGCAGGGGTTGAAAAATGAAAGCCCATGAGCCAAATATGACTCACTGCCTACTATTTGACAGAGAGAGCACAAGCAGGGGGAGTGGCAGGCAGAGGGAGAGGGAGAAGCAGGCCCCCCGCTGAGCAGGGAGCCAGAGGTGGGGCTCCATTCCAGGATTGTGGGGTCATGACCTGAGGCCGAAGGCAGATGCTTAACCGACTGGGCCACCCCGGCGCCCCTCGTTGCCTACTTTTATAAATGAAATTTTATTGGAACACAGACATGCTTGTTTGTTTGTACATTATCAATGGCAGTTTTCAGGCTACAGTGGCAGAGTTAAATGGTTACAACAAAGACTGTATGACCTACAAAGCCTAAAATATATATTATCTGGCCCTTTACAGAAAAAAATTGCCAAACCCTAGTCCAGGGAAAAAAGATGATCTACAAAGTCTTGAAGGTACACTTGGAACCAAAAAAGAGGTAAAACTGAGGATCGTTAGACATAGAAGTGAGGGAGAAGAAGTTGATGGTTCTAGTGTGGATGACTAGGATGAGGGTACCAGGGGGGGACCATTCTTGGGGGGTGGATAATGAGTTTGGGGGAAATTCTGAGTTGGAGATTTCTGTAGGTCATCTGAAATCAAGTGGTGCTCAATTCTATCAAAGAGAGTTAGAACTCAAGAGCAAAGATCATGTGTGGGATGGCCGGGATGGATGGATGGATGGATGGATGGATGGATGGCATGGCCCATGTAGAATAAGACAAGGCCCAGGAGAGAATCCTGGGAAATACCAACATTAAGAAGCTGGAGTAAAAGAATCAGTCCAGGAAACACCCATAAGCAATATGTAGACAGATAACTACAGGGTGGAGGAATGATTCTATCACCAGCATAGAAGTTTCTGGAGAGCACAAACTTGTTCTTATTCATGAGTGTGGGTCTCATACCATTTTAAAGGCACTCAGATATTGACTGAATAAAACCACTGGAATGATATAAGTAACTTAATTGGCTTAGAATACTCTTAAAATTAAAAAGAAAGGCCCATAGAATTGGGAGGGATGATTCTGAGAAAAGAGTTGGGGACAAGCAGATATAAATTTATTTTTATTAAGAAAAATATACTGAATGACTAATATAGAAAGATGGGTAGTATTAATCAGAAGATAAATGTATCTCATTAAATATATAAACTGTACATGACAAAGTGATTTATAAAGGCATAATTATGTGATTATATGTGTTTGAAAATATTCTGTTTATTTTGTAAATTAAGATGTACTTTGGAGGTCAGGGTAGGGGGTCATTATGGGTTAATTTTTTTTTTGAAGATTTTATTTTATTTTATTTTTTTTAAAGATTTTATTTATTTATTTGAGAGAGAGAGAATGAGAGATAGAGAGCACGAGAGGGAAGAGGGTCAGAGGGAGAAGCAGACTCCCCGCTGAGCAGGGAGCCCGATGCGGGACTCGATCCCGGGACTCCAGGATCATGACCTGAGCCGAAGGCAGTCGCCTAACCAACTGAGCCACCCAGGCACCTGAAGATTTTATTTATTTATTTGAGAGAGAGCACAAGCGGGGGTGGGGGTTGTGTGCAGAAGGGCAGAGGGAGAGGGAGAAGCAGACTCCCCTCTGAGCAGGGAGCCCAAAATGGGGCTCGATCCAGGACCCTGGGATCGTGACCTAGGCCAAAGGCAAATGTTTAATGGACTGAGCCACCCAGGTGCCCCAATTATGGGCTCATTTCTAAAAGAAAGGGCTTAGTTCTTGACTTCTTAGCTATATTAGTCTGGACTCTTGGTTTTAAGTTACAGAAACCATATTCAAGTTAGCTTAGGCAAAAGAAGAAAGGGTTGGCTCAAAGAATCAAGAGTTAAATAGCCAAGCTGTGTGCAGTCAGAACAGTGGATATAGCTGTGTTCAAGGAGGGGCATGGGGGTTTCCCTTGTTCAGCTCAGCTTCTCCCTCCAGGTGGGCCTCATTCTTCTCTCTCATTGCAGACAGATTTTATACACATGGTACAAAACATGAGTTTTGTGTGATATAGTCGTAGCCTTTTGGAAAAATTGACTCTCTCAACAAAAATCCCAGTCAAAGGCCCAATTAGTTCAGTTAGGTTTTTTTGGCTACAAAGAACAGAAAAACTCAAGTACCACATAAACTGGTGCTCAATAAATATCTGTTAAATAGGAAGAAAGCAAGAAAGAAAAAGAAAGTATTAAACTGGATCTTTGCTATCCAGTATGGTAGCCACTAGACATATGTGGCTGTTCAACACCTACTCTGTGATTGGTTCAATTTAAGATATGCACATCAGATTATAAGGACTTAGTACTAAAAAAAGAACATAACACATCTCATCCCCTTACTCCTCTAGGTAAATGTTCACTAACCAGCAGCCGATAGGGCCAAATAGGTTTTATTTGGATTCCATAGGTTTCGAAAAACTTTCACAAAATGAGTTAGCAGCATTCAAAATTCAGATTTCACAAAATTCTCATTTTAGGTTTCTCTTGTAATACTGGAAGATATATACATGTTCCTCCATCCCATTTGTGCAATTTATCCTTTTGTACTATTCGTTTTTATAAGCCACCTAGAATTCTACTAGGCAAAGAATGAATTAAGAAATAGCTAGCTACATGGGCACCTGGGTGGCTCAGTTGATTAAGCGACTGCCTTCGGCTCAGGTCATGATCCTGGAGTTCCGGGATCGAGTCCCGCATCGGGCTCCCTGCTCAGCAGGGAGTCTGCTCCTCCCTCTGACCCTCCCCCGTCTCATGTGCTCTCTCTCTCTCATTCTCTCTCTCAAATTAAATAAATAAAATCTTTAAAAAAAAAAAAGAAAAGAAATAGCTAGCTACATGCTCAGGCCCTGCAACTGTGATGAGGAGACAGAGCTGATTAAGCACCATCCTCCACCCTAGGGGAGCCTAGTGTGGACACAAAAGGATTCAGGGGCAATCTTCATTGCATAGTTTCAAATGTGTATAAAAATGGTTTCAATGATCATCTATCATTTACATTCATATTTAAAAGTGATGACATATAAATTTTATATATTTCCTTTACAGTATAATGTAGAGCTAGGAGCCCAGACTCCAGAGTCAGATTGTCTATGTTCAAATCTCAGCAAATTGTTGTGAACTCGAGCCAGTTCTTTAACCTCTCTCTGATTCGCTTTCCTCAGCTGTAAAATGAGGACAAAAATACTACCTACCTCATAGAGTTATTGGGAAGATTGATATAAATAGCTATAACAAATAATAGCACCTATCTCCTACTACAATTATAATTACTACAACCCCTCCTCCTCCTATTACATTATTACCTACCACCTAGCAAGGACGGTGCTGAAGGTGAACTCTAAGAGAGTCAGTTCTAAGTGCACACTTGAGACTGGACAGAGCAAATAAGGGGGAGAAAACACTGAGCATTTAGCTCAATCGGTGGCGGTGAGGGGTAGGGATAGGAAGCTCTGGAATTCTGGAATAGTGCAGTGGAATCCCTACAAAGGTGTGGGAATTCACCTCTGGAAAAAACTTTGTTTTCCTGAGATTGATTGATTAAATAAAAAAATAAATGTGGATTTGGGGGTCATTCCATTTGGTTTTTAAGGAGAATGAAACAAATCAAAAGACATTTTCAGTGTCTTTTTCAGGTTTATTTTTTAAAAGCCACTTCCAGGAGTTTCTTGGGGTAAGAACAAATTGGCCCAACTCACCAATGCCCTCTGGGAAGTCAAACGATAAATTTATAATTATGCCCTGTGTTAATTTAAGTGCCACAGCGGCGCAGTGCAGAGTAGTAGGAATAATCGAAGGCCACACATCTTGATTTTGGAAATCTCAAGTCAATTTCGTCACCTCTCAGAAGGCTGAAGACCGGATCTTAGAAGTGATCCACTGTTAGCCCCTCATTTTACACAAGATGAAAACACGGCCCGGGGAGATTCAATGATTTTTCCAAATTCCACAAGAATTTTTTTTTGGCCGAGCAAGTTATGTCCAGTAAGTCATGGCATCCTAAGTTCAATCAGTGAATGCTGGCTCCTACTGGTCATTAAGCTGTTCTCCCAAAAAAGTTAAGAAAAAAAAAAAAAACAGACAAAAGAAAAAAATGTTTTTTAAAAAAGGAGGGGAGTGGGGGTCAAGGATGGAGCGAAGTAGCTGGAAGCTCTGAGATGCAACAAGGCTATGTTCACTGTTTTGGGGGATGGTGAGCAGTTTGCGCATGCGAATCAGCAGGTCAGAGAATAGTGGTCAGAACTGCCTAGTTATCACTCACACCCATGTAGACACAAATACTATATCCCTTCCTGAGTGCCTGACTACAGCCAGAGGAAGCCAAGTCCGTGGTGCACAAGCAGCTGCGCGGAGCTTACCTTCTCGCGCGCCGTCTCGGCAGCCGTGAAGCTCCGGAGCCGGAACCTGGAGGGGGGAGAGAAGTTTGCGTGTTCAGGCGCGGGACCCGGGGGAGTCGGAGGCCAGGGCTGGGTCTGTCCGCACGCGAGGGTGGGGAGAGGGCGACCCGCAGTCGCCGCAGTGCCTCTTACCCGCTCGTGGTCCTCTCACACCGCCGGTCCGCAGGGCGGACACCGCAGGCCAGCCCAGCTCGCGGTTCGCGCCGAGTTCGGAGCGAGGAACCGGAGACACAGCGTCGCCATGGAGATGAGACCGCGGGCTGCTGGAGCCCGGGAAGCAGCAGAGGGCAGAGGCGGAAGGAGCACTCGGGCGGGGACAGGGATAGCTCGGAGAGCGGCTGAGGGGCGGGGAGGAGGCGGGACGCGCCCAGGTAGCTCCGGAGGGCGCGAGACGTGAGAGGCCGAGCGGGACGAGCCTCCGACTGGCCTGCTAGGCAAGCCTGGGGAGGCGGTGCAAGGCCCGGACGGGGCAGAGGGGGCGGGGCGGGGCGAGCCTGGGGCGGGGCTGAGGAGCAGGGCGGGGGTGGGACGGGGGCGGAGCAAGCTCGGGGAATCACGGAGGGGACCGGGCGAGAAACCCGGGTTCGGGAGAGCCCAGCTGCTCCGCCACGCCGTGCCTTGGGTGTATAAAATCTCGGACACACGTCCGCACTTGCACCCGTTACTTTGAGAAATGAAGAAAGGAGGGGGATTGGAATGTCGTTGTCCATACCTGATCCTTTTCTTGGCAGGGAGAGGGAAAAGAGCGGGGCGGCCTCGTTCCTGTTTTAAAACTGTGAAGTAAAAGAAGTCTTGAGTTTGGGAGAGAGGTTTATCCCTAGATGTGGATGAACAAATGCCGCCTGCAGGACTTGGTCCCTAACTTGAGGTCGCTCCAAGAAAATTATTAATTTCCTGGGAGTCTTGGACCCTCCTCTTCCCCCAGCGCGGGGGAAAGTCTTAGGATATGAAATTGACCTCGGGCAATGGGAGGCTTTACGGCCTAAATAACTGTTTGGTTCACAAAAGGGGATGGGGGAGCACTTCTATTAGAAAATTCTAATTGTCCCTCAAGCTTGGCTTCTAGGAAGGAATTGGTTGCTTTTCTTCACTTGGGAACGGGAAGTCTCTAGGATCGATTTGTTGCTAGGCAACAGGTTTTGAAGGATGCCCATTTGTTGGAATCAAATCTGGATTCGAATTTCACTAAGTAGCCACATGATACGAGGTATAATCGCTATTTAACCTCTGGGGTTAGGTACCTTTTTGGGAATATGTACTTTGGTAGATGACTGTGTGCTTCAAATAACAAAGTATATAAAGCTCTGACATGTAGAAGATGCTTTAAAAATGGTAAATTTTAGGGCGCCTGGGTGGCTCAGTCGTTAAGCGTCTGCCTTCGGCTCAGGTCATGATCCCAGGGTCCAGGGATCGAGTCCCACATCGGGCTCCCTGCTCAGCGGGAAGCCTGCTTCTCCCTCTCCCACTCCCCCTGCTTGTATTCCTGCTCTCGCCGTCTCGCTCTGTCAAATAAATAAATAAAATCTTAAAAAAAATAAATAAATAAAATAAAAATGGTAAATTTTATCATCATCCTCATCAAATTTGAACCGCTTGGACCATTTCAGGAACCCAGGGTATATAGAGATTTAGTTATCTTTAAATTATCTTAATCGGGTGCCTGGGTGGCTCAGTTGGTTGGGCGACTGCCTTGGGCTCAGGTCATGATCCTGGAGTCCCGGGATCGAGTCCCACATCGGGCTTCCTGCTCAGCAGGGAGTCTGCTTCTCCCTCTGACCCTCTTCCCTCTCGTGCTTTCTATCTCTCATTCTCTCTCTCTCTCAAATAAATAAATAAAATCTTAAAAAAAATTATCTTAATCATCTGTCCATGTTCACTCAATCTCCTTAGATTCCTGGATGGAGGGAGGAAGGCAAAGGAAGAAAGCCAGAATGGAAGTTTTTTAAAGAACTCAATGAGTTATTGACAGATACATACCCAGTTTGATAAGGACATAGAAAACCACTATCTCTACTATTATAGGAACACCATTACATCGCTGATGTATTAAGTTTGAAGACTTTTTGTTCAATCAAGACAAAGGGAAATTCATTATATTTTTCTATCAATAGGCTTAAAACATTAGTTTTGATGAATTTGCTTAGTATTGATAAATGAGTAATGTCTGACTGGCTATTCCCATTATCCTACTCCACAGAGATGTAAGGAAACCCCATATTTAACTGATTAAACTTCATCTTCCTACCCCTCTTCCCCCAACAGAAGAGCTCAAGTCCATTTGTAGAATGCAGTGTTTTCAATGTTTATTTATTGTTTCTGAAAGAAGGGGCAAAAATGGTTTGATGACCTTGGAGAATAAAAATGTTATCTCTGCGTGGAGGAGGGTTTAGACAGATCTGGCTTCCACCTTGGGCCTCAGGGTCTTCAAATGCTAAGTGGGGATAATAACACTACTTGCCCTGGTAGCTTAGAATATGAAATGGGTGAAAATAAGCCTCTGACAGAGCATGGCACATGACAATTGATCAATAACACTTAGCTATTATGACTTATACTATAATATTATGTATATGAATAAAAGTACCTATTTCCAGGATTAAAGATCATTTAGGTAAAGTGCCTATTTGAACCCATGATGGTTATTTTATTTCTCTCTGATGAAAAAATATCACATTTCATATTTGCATAACTTTATTTTTTTTATTTTTTTTTAAAGATTTTATTTATTTATTCATGAAAGACAGAGAGAGAGAGAGAGGCAGAGGGAGAAGCAGGCTCCCAAGGAGCAGGGAGCCCGACGCGGGACTCGATCCCAGGACCCTGGGATCATGACCTGAGCCGAAGGCAGACGCTTAACCATCTGAGCCACCCAGGCGCCCTTGCATAACTTTAGAAATAATTCACCTCCCTCTATAACCTTTGTGCAGAAGTTATCACTGGTGTAATACTCAAAAGGAGAGCATAGTTTAGTTCTGGCTCCTGGATTCAGGCCCAGAGTATCTATGTAGTGAGGATTTCTTCTGACAAAGTGAGGGGACAAAGTCAAACACCCATCCAAATACTGAATCACCCCATAAGAACTATCTCTTATTACAGTCCAGGTTTTTTATTTATTTTATTAAAGATTTTTATTTATTTATTCATAAGAGACAGAGAGAGAGAGAGAGGCAGAGGGAGAAGCAGGCTCCCCACTGAGCAGGGAGCCCGATGTGGGACTTGATCCCAGGACCCCGGGATCATGACCTGAGCCGAAGGCAGATGCTTAACCATCTGAGCCACCCAGGCACCCTACACTCCAGGTTTTTTAATGGATAAATTTTTATTACAGATCTGAATGTTATCAGAACATCATAAAAAATGTTCAACATTTGGTGTTTTTCTGATTACAAAAGTAATACATGTTCATGATAGAAAATTTGCAACATAGGAAGCACAAAGAAAAAATAAAAACCGCGTCAGTCAGTAATTTCTTTTTTCCTTCTAGCCTTTTCGTGTGCATATATTTATAAAGTTTGTATTAGTGCACACATTGTTAGCATCTCTCTTTGCTTGACATTCTCTCCAATGTCTTAACATTTCCCCGAAGTCTTTAAAAAGTCTTCAAAACATTTTTAATGGCCATGTAATGTTATATAATACGTATGAGCCACAATTTATTCATAATTTATTCAATCAGTCCCCAATGTGGAAATTTCCAACTTTTCTCCAGTAATTCTTTAAGAACATTTATTGAGTGTTTGCTATATATTAGGCACTGTGCTAGACATAAAACTAAAGTAGAGGACAGTAACTATAAAAATAAGGTTTTGATTAACATCTTTGTAAATAAATCTTTGATAGCATCTTTCATTCTTAGACTAAATTCCTAGGACGATGAAAACAGAACTTCAAAAAGCATTTTCCCAGCTTCAAAGGCAGACTTAAGAAATAAAACTCTGAACTGTAAAATATTAACTTTTTTGGAAAATTACCAAAAACAGAATTAATATTTATTTTGTGCCAAGTGTGAACTTACTCAGAAGATGCTTTCTCGTTAGTGACTGTGAAACATCAAGGGTATTTGAAGTGTATTGACTTTGGCTTCTACCTCTAATTCTTTCCAGGATTTGCAGGTTTTCACAATAGTGTGAGATTGTTTGAAGTATATGCAAATTGCCCTACTTCCTCCTTTCACAGTTAAAATGTTAACTATTTTATTTCCAGCTTTCCTCTTGTAAACATAAGGCTTTTTTACATCTGTTTCATTTACTTTCCCGTGTGAAACATTTTGTATCTTCACACTTTTTAAACTGAAAGCAGATTCCTTTCTTCTAAACCCAAGTTATAGGATATACTATATTGTATATGAGACACTGGATTTAACATATCCTGTAGTTAATTTTGGTCAAGAAGCATCATGTAAATTAAAAAAAAAAAAAGCATCATGTAAATTAACCAATGTATTTAGGGAATTTCATGATAGAGATTAAAAGCAGTTAACAACTCCCCAACACACACACACACACACACACACCCCTTACTAATCTTTGACAAATGTTCATATATAAGGTTGAACCATATGAAATAGCCATTTGTGGATTAAACACAGTCAAATAATGACAACTTTATATGGTTCCATCTATGTAAATATTTCATTAACTACTTTATAATTTTCCAACTCTTTCCAAATATTGAACTTACTGATTATCATACTGAGGCTATCCTTTATCATTGCACAAGTATTGTGTTTATTCAACTTCCACAAATATTGGAATCTAGTCAGGAGAGTGCCATAAAATGTTTGTCTATTATTGCAGAGACAGTAGAGGGAGCCTGGAGCCAAAACATTATTTTAGGCTTCATGTTAATGATGATTGTCTTCCAATTCTTGATGTGTGGATGAATTTAAATACTAGTATATATGTGAAACAGCAATCTTAAAAAAAAAAAAAGTGGTACTTAACTAGTTGTACTTAAGTAATCCCTTTAAAAGATGGCCAGGATAAGGTTGGCTGCCAGTTCAAGCTAGCCCCATCAGGGTTCATACTGGGACCACCCTGAATCCCATTGCTCTCTGCTCTTCCCTGCGTGATGCTGGAGCCTGCACACTGCCACGCTGACATATCTGTGCTCCACCATTTTCCCCTTTCAGTCCATAATTAGATCACCCATTTCTGGGGGGATTATATCATGATTATTTCATTGGAACCTCAACAGATGCTACCATCTCCAGCTGTATGTCTTAATTTAAAGTAATTGTAGTTTAGTTGATCGCTACCTCCAGACACGTAAGGAAGCACTTTGATCCTGTCCTCAATCATATCAAAAGTTTCTAACAAATTACCAATCCTTTCACAGAGCAGGAAATTTCATTAACATTAATTAAAGATATTGTCTCTTACTGACCTCTCCTCAACCATCTTTATCCTCTGTCCAATCTTTTTTTTTTTTTTAAGATTTTTAAAATTTATTTGAGAGAGAGAGAGAGAAAATGAAGGGAGGATGTGTAGGGGGGAGCAGAGGGAGAGGGACAAGTAGACTCTGCTCTGAGCGCAGAGCTTGATGTGGGGCCTGATCTCAGGACCCTGAGAACATGACCTGAGCCAAAATCAAGAGTCAGATGCTCAACCGACTGAGCCACCCAGGTGGCCCTTCTCTGTCCAATCTTTTGTTAATTCCCTTCACCATGGTGTTATAAAGGGGTCCCCAAGGTAATTGGTGGTGTCACCAC